CCCTGCACCCCCTGTGCCCCCTGCGCCCTGCACCCCCTGTGCCCCCTGCGCCCTGCACCCCCTGTGCCCTGCGCCCTGCACCCAGTCCCTGGATACTTCTAGGACTCAAGTATCCAGTCGTGACACTGCCCTCCAACTGCTCCCGCTACAGCCTTCCTGACTGACCTCCCGCTGACACACGGATGAATGGGATTGCTTGACAACAGGTGCCCACAGAACAGCAGCCCACCTGGACCAACACCCAGGCCTGCCACTCACTTGGTTCACAAAATTCTCTGCCTTGCCCCGTGCCCCACCCCCAGTCAATTTCTCCATCTTCAAAGAGCGATGACAGTAACACACTCAATGCACTTGGTACAGATGCTCAGCGCCTCAGAGACTTTTAGTGAGTGACTCCCAGACGAATTAACAGAACGTCAGCGAATCAGCCTGAGACACCTGTCTCTGACATCACAGTACTGGACTCAGTAAATGCAAAGGGACTAAACAGCAGCTTTGGACAGGCCTGAGATGCAGCTAATGACTGGTGGCAGGGCCCTTCTAACCTTCTCTTCACAGTTATCAACACAGTTAAAAGGCCCTCCCCCAGGGCCGAGAACACCCACGACTCACAGCACCGGACACCTGTGAGATGGACCCTGCATCAAACGGCACTGAGGAACACTGCTGGCTCATTCCTACTTCTAGGCCGTACGTGTGATGAGCAATCTCAAGGTACTCTACACATTAACCCAGGCGCTCAGGGCACTGGAGCTAGTGGTAGTTCCTCCTGTTTGCACGAAACTGGGAATTTATTCCCAAAGACATTTACGTAAGCCTCAAATACCACTCCAATAAGAAATACGAAATACTCTGGCCCTGCCCCACTCCCACCCTGGGCCCTCCACCTCACCTTACCACCATCACCCCCTCCTCACAAGCTCCAAGAAGCTGGGTACTCAGGAATACAGTACAGGAAACTACCCTTCCCCACCTCCAATTTGAAGAACTTAATACCTATTAGGGTCTATACAAATGCCCCTCTCAGTTTTGAGGAGGGGTGCTGTAAGACCTATGAAGAACCCCTCCTCCACTCCCA